ATACTCACTGATCAAAATACAATTTTGCTCTTATACGTAGTGTATCGCACATTGCCGACAATAGTTTTGCAATAGAGTAAGATTTGCAATTGATATTTATTAAAAAAATGTATTTCACAAATTTTTTGGAGTTACATAGTGATGTTATTTCCTTCCTGTATATCCAGATATCGAGAATAGATCGTTATCTTATCTCGTTATGCAAAACAAGTTAAATATCCCGAAAAACTGCGTTTCTCCAAAATGTATCGCAGAGCTCGTAAAAATCGTATTAATCAAGACATTCGTCTCGTTATTGAGAAAAGATAAGATACATATGAAAAAGCACACAGAGATTAAATCAAATGGTTTGAAGTAAATTAATAAAGACGTCATTGCGAATATCCGGCGCATATTGCGTGAGCGTTTCGATAGTCGCGTGTAAAACAAACTTCGTACGAAAGTCAAAACTTTGCCATAATGTTCGCGTAAGATATTTCGCGCTTAATTAAACATGTGTCGTCGAGGTCGAGCGCGATGACGAGGCGAAAATTCTGCGCGAAGCGCACGTGGATATTATGCGTATTTTCGCATGCTAATACACGATTCCCTGCCATTTGCCGCGAATGCAAAACGCCCCTCCGTTTTGCCATACGGCCGTTTTTGCAATGGACGCAATAAACAATAGATAAGGTATTCGCGCGAGGCGAAAGACGATGCACGATTACGGCAGGTACGTGTCTCGCTTGCGAACCGCTATCGCTGACTCATTGGGCTTCTCCGTCCGATAAGATAAAGCTTATCACCGATGCTCAGTGGCGCAAGAGACTAACCACTCTCTCATCCTTGCTCGGTGTCGCTATTTTCCACGATTGCAAGGAACGTTTCCTTCGAACACGTTTTGAACATCGCTCGGGGGGGCGCGTTAGTTACGCTTTGCAAAGTCAGCTCGTAATTTGTTTCTTCCCAATTGTACGTTATGATCGAACGTGAGACAGTTGGCCAAGTCGGTCAATCAAAAGCGTTTTAATTATTAAAACGCTTTGTTATTTGTATGCATAAGTTTTGGTTGTCGATTTCTCGTTCGGGATGAAACCAATTGCTTAATACAATACATTATTCACTTGCGAGAGAATTTTTTAAGAGAAAAAATATCATACAGCAGTAGTTCGGCAAAATGTGTTTTGTGATTCACACGATTTGTATCTTCTTAACAATTTAATTACGATTAACGGACGGTTTGATTAGCATGAACGAATAATAATTCATCGTAACGTTTCGTTATGCTTAACCATAAATCGCAAATGATAACGCGAGTCCTGTATACCTACGTAATAATGGCATAAATGTTGTCGCTATATGTTCGGACAATTCGTAAGACTACATTTTCCCGAAATTTTCATTGCTTTATAATAAACTTTGATTTCACCATAATTATATCGCTTGCAGAAGTACGATTGCAATCACTGTTCGAACTATCGAAGTCCGTCAAAGCGTGACATAATCGGACTATGACGATGGAACTCTCACAGGGTTCGACTAGAACCTGTTACCGGATAGAAGCCCCCGGAGCGAGCCCCGTTCTGTCAGCCAAAATAAACAGAATGTCACGGATATAAATAAAGCTTTCACTCTCTTCGCGCTTCTTCTTTTCGCGGGGCTGTCTCCCGCTTGACAAGGCGGTCCCTTGATCGGGCCGTGCATCCCGTCGGAAACTGCTGGCTAAAACCGTCTGGCCCGCCACACGTCATTGACGCGAGTAATTATAGGACAGAAGACGCAGTTTGCTTTCCCTTCATTCGCAGTAAATTTCCTCCATTGTGCGCAATTATAAAATTCCAGCGTGAAAAAGTCTTATCTTGTTAAAAGGCAAAACTTTCGTCTCGCGAAATGCGCGACGTTCTCTATTTGAAAAGTTTCTGTTAAAAGAACAGAAGAAGAAACTTTAACAAAGGTCCCTATTTATCGCCATTTTAACCAGCAACAGATATTAGTTTTTCTTGTAAACATTCGCGTCGAATCAAATGATTTTACGAATTTCATGCAAATTGTAAAAACTATTATGTCTAGCGCAATAGTTAACTATTGTCAAACCAGAATAATTGTGTAAAAAAAAAAACTAAAAACTGTCGAATAACAATTGCTATTCGACAGATTTTAGTTTTTTTTTTTTTTTTTTTTTTTTTTATCGAAAGCATTATCTATTGAATAATGTCAATCCGACTTGGGGGATAACTATCGAGTGATGCTCGTAAACGTCACTATGCACTAAATCCACAGTTTCAGTCGATGAAATACTGCAGTTACACTAGTTGTGAGCCGATGCTCGCCNTTTTTTTTTTTTTTTTTTTTTTTTTTTTTTTATCTAAAGCACTATCATCTGAATAAATTCAATCCGAGTTGGCGGATAAATATCGAGTGATGCTCGTAAACGTCACTATGCACTAAATCCACAGTTTCAGTCGATGAAATACTGCAGTTACACTAGTTGTGAGCCGATGCTCGCCGCACTGCACGTACACATACACACGCGCGCACAATACACTGTGCCACTCCGCGTGTTTTCGGGAAAGTAAGTTTCACGTTTCAAACTAATCTCGCGCTCTTTACACGCGCGAGCCCGGGAGATGCTTTATTCGAATTCGGCTTATACATCAGTTGCGACGTGGCGCGTTCGCGAAATTCGCCTAACGACAAAAGCGACTATAATACTCTGATACTTGGATAACACCCGCTCTCTCTTTCTCTTTCTCTCTCTCTCTCTCTCTCTCTTTCATCTTGTTTACTATTTTCCCGTTTTACCGGGATTTGCATGTAGCCGCAACGGCGCTATTCATGGCGGCGCACGTCCCGCATCCTATATGGAAAAATCCTTTTCCGTATTGCACGTGCGCGTGGTTACGAATAGCCTGATCTCGGTTCCGGTTACACCACGTCGTGTCTATTCATTTTTATATATATGCACTTTTGCTATGCGACGCGCTATGCGCTTCTACCCTACTTCCGTTTGCTCCGTCATGAGTGAAACGAGATCGCGCTCATCAGCGATAAGAGATAAATTATCATTGTAACGTTATTGTCTTTATTACTTCTATAAAGTCTTCAAGATATATAATCACACACGTAATCTATCAATTTATTAAGCCGATACTAATAATGGATACTTGCAACGAACTTTTCTTGTCGTGTTCTTTGCATTAAATATGTTTGCCTTTATAACGTTTAAAAAAATTTATTTCTCACGAGCGCTAATAAATCGAGTCATTAGATCGTCGGGCGCATCTTTTCACCGCCAAGAAATTGTCAAAGTTGTCTTCCTGCCGATTCGATTAAATTACTTTCTCACGCTTTCGCACGCAGCTCGGGGACTCCACCAGCTAACTACTCGATCGAAAAATCGCGGCGCGAGTTCAACGGCGGAGCCGTCGCGATTGAATGGTTAACCAACGAAGTAACTTCTGCTTGATGCCTAACTGCTAGTAAACAGGATCGAGCGTCGGTCCATGTAACGCGGTTACTCGATCTGGGATCTTGTTCGCGCAACTGCGCAAGCCCCGACCGTAACAAACAAAGTGTCAGAATCAGGTTTCGGGTTAGCGCTAAACGCGAGGTGTAAAGCCGCTTGAATCTTGGCGTGATTACAATTTGGCACGTCATTTGCAAGGCGCAGCAGCGCCCGCTACGGCGCCGCTACGCCCCCCGAAACGACGGCGTTGCTCCCGCCCATGTAAAAAGCGGCCGCGCGCGAACATCTCTCCGGAGGATTCTTATGCGGAACAAAACAAAAAAAGAGAAAAACGAAACGGGATGAGTAAAAACGAAGAAGAGGAGGATAGAGCGTAAAGGATATAAGCGGGATAGCGAGCGGAGCGAGAGAAGGAAGGTAGGACACGGAAAAAGAGAGGGAGGAAAGAGGAATCGAGCGGGTCCAGCCGAGCGCAGCACGTGACGGGTGTCGTTAATATTTCATTAGCATTCGTTTTGCGTCGTCCCGCCGACGTGCCCGGTTTTATATACGCTCTACGTTACACCGCGCGTCTCCCTCTTTCCCACTTCCCCTCGCCGTCCAGCCACGCCGGTCGGATTTTTATTGCTAACGCGGCGCAGTTATCCGTAAAAAAATCGCGCGTTTTGCCCGCGTTCGTTGACTCTCGGACGCCGGTTTTCGCGTCGCCATTCGATACGCTTTTCGACGTTTTCAAATTTTCTACATGCGTCGCATCGGCACGCGTTTCGGAAAAAATTAGAAGACTCAAATACAATCTACGACACGAATAACATTTGCGAGGAATGACGATTTTGTACTTGTTTTTCAACAAAAATCACGTTTAGTTTTGGTCATTTGTATGTAAAAGTCAAATTAAAAAATAAAGCGACTATCGCGTGCAAATCGATCTGCATCGTCGCGTTTTCTGGTCTTGTATTTGCGTATTGTTGCTGAGAAATTTGTTCATTCTCCTGTTCGATCTTGCGACTCTCTCGGTCGACCTTATCATCCTACCACTTCGGTGCTTCGCAGCTCGATTATGTCTTCTTTGACTACGCAATCTCGACAAGCTCCTCAATTCAGCCAATTAATTAGCACTTAATGAACAGGCTTTGAGCTGCATTCTCCGCCGAGATTGCGACGCGGAGAGAGAGAGAGAGAGTTAACCTTGCCTTCGCGACCGGTATTGTTTACTCTTTCGGTTGTTGTACCACCGTCTCATGCCATTTCGCCCGGAATTCCGGTCTTAGTCGTTCCGGAACTTCAACACGAGTGAGCGCGGCCATTAAAACAGCCATATTAGTCGAGGTCTTGTTATACCTGACGTTATGTGAAGCGTAGTTTTATTTCTTACAGAAATTCGCGAGACAAGCGTTCAAGCAAAATTTAGATTAAATTCTTTAATAAAAATTGATTAAATATTCTTTTTTTTATTGGAATATCATTGCGATATAATTACAGCTCGCGCTAACGTCTCGATGTGGCGCAATTCGCCGAAATAATTAAAGTTGAAATAATTGAAGTTTTCACTCACCGTTTCGGTTCTCGCTGTCGGCTGGCTTCATCTGAATCGGATGGCGCATCTGAAAATAAAAGAAGTCACCAATGTAGAGTTCTGAAATTGAGTTTGTACACGAGTGCGACCTTATCATCGGCGCTTCGAAGGCGTTCGGGTGTAATAAAAGCGACATTTATTATTGATAAGACTACGCCGATAAGACACCGCCGGTGTTAGCGAACGTCGGAGTTCGCGTGTAAAGTTCGTTTCCGCGCTGTCTGAAAAATGCAACGACGAGAAGTCGTATTCCGCGATGTGTTCGTTTCCATTGCACTTACACAGAGACGAGAGTCCAGTTGTACCTAAGGATTCTTTCCTATTTTGCAAACGCAAAACTGAAAATCGAGCGCGACGTCACGTTTCTTGTTCAAAAAAATATCAGTTGTGTCAATTACATGATAAAATATGTTCGATTTGTTACAAAAGGAAGCCTGGAATGTCTCTCCGTTTATTACAAAAATCAACAACGCGAGCAAATCGAAAGAAACATTACTGGCAACTTCTTCGGATTTTCGTTTCAAAAAGTAACAGTCGTATTGCATGTCAATAGATATTGCACGATGAAATCTGTTCGATTTATCAGCAGGGAAGACTCGGAAAAAAAACCACTATCGCAACGACGCGTGCGAATCGAAAAACACATTGAAAAAAATAAAAAAACATGGAAAATTGAAAAATACAGTCAAAATGGTGAAAATCAATAAAATAAAAAATATCAGATAGAGCACAGAAAGCGGTTGTATAATAATTGAATGGAGTGGCAGAATGAGAGCGGATAAAATTATCCCGATATATATTGGGGTGTTCATTATACCAACATCATGTCAGATATATTGAAAGGCCATCGGAATGCGCGATATCTCTTTGATAAACGCTATTTATGAGTGGAGCGCGCAGAAAGCACGTTCGGAAAAGTAGGTTTATTGTATAACTCCCGGTTCGCTTGTGTGAATATGGAAATCATTTCGGCGTATCTGTTCGCTCGTACGTGCGCAACGAGATTTTCTGCGCAATGAATCGATGACACCGGCCGCGCGTTCGCGGAACAAACACACGCCGTGTATTTTTGTGAACAGATAAGAACCGGTATGTGTAGCGCGCGCGCGCTCTATACACGCGATTATCTATCGTTCGTTGCAATAAAATCGATTTACGCCAAATTTAATTGCGCGGGTTCGGCCACAGGATAAAATTCGCTGCAAGTGATGTTTTAGCAATTATGCGATTGAAACAGAGCGCGCGCGAGAGTTGCAAGCGATTTTCGAACGAATGAATGTTATCGTGGCCGAACACGTGCAGGCGCGCGCGGCCTCTCGTATTTTTTCGTGTGTATGTTTAAAACACGCTCTCAGATTATTTCAATAGCACTCGTGGAGATTTTCGGATAAAAAGTGCGGTCAATTAAACATATTTTTTTTTTAATTGCGGTGTATTGCAATAATCGATAATAAACCTCAACTGCTTTATAATCCGCGCGTGAATGTTTTCCATTTATTAAATTTGCTATAATTAATATGGTTCTTGAACGTATTCTTTGCATATGGCTCGAATTTATGTAATATCTCCCTTTTTGTTAACTACCTCGGATATCGGTTTATAAGTTTTGCGTGGACACTCATAAAAAAATTAGCGAGGTGATTATTCGCCGATGAATAAAAAACACGGCAATGGCCGCGATCGTAAACTTAAGCCCTTACGGTGATGCATTATCGCGCCATAACGAAATAACTGCAAGCAGTGAAAGAGAGAAAAAGAGAAAAAGAAAGAAGAGAGAGAGACAGAGAGAGAGATAACGAGAATGAAAAAGATAACATTTTTATGAGCGCGTGATATATACGGAACCTCCCTCTTTCGAAGAAAATGGCAGATAGTTCTGACATTTCCGTTTATTATAGCGATGGTTATTACGTGTCGGGTGGAATAAGCCATCGGTTTTTACGACCCTCGAATTGTATCGATCGCGAACGGTACTTCACCGCAAACGACGAGCAAGGAATCACGATCTGGGTCGTTCTTTGAACTCCTTGTTTCTAATTTAATCGCTGCGCTCGTTAAATCGCAACGCCATCGTGCGCCCCGACAACGACAAGCGCTTTTCGAAATCTTTCGAGAGATTCTCGACGCGAACTGTTAGTAATGAATGACTCACAATGTTGCGGAAAACTAAGCTCGAAACACGTTTTCTTTTGACACGTCGCGCTGATCAACACAAATACGTGCGACACGTCACAATTATAATATTTCAAGATGACGAATGACGTTACGAGAACAATCGATGCGTAATTTAGAAAAATATGTGTCAGTGTGCGCAGCATTTGTTGTTTAAAACTGTTGTTTATCCAAAAAAATCCCTTAGTCTATTGCGAGAAGAATCGAAAACAATCTGCCACAAATAAATTGAAATCAGACTTTGAAATTTACTTTCGGTTTTGTGAAACGTTACGTCAATACAAACGTACGTTCAATCTTTTGTAAATTCGTGGATATCGCGCAAAAAAGTCCCGTAAGAATAGAGTTCTGCAACTTGGTACTTTAATTCCGCGACTTCGTAAATGTAATTCATCAAGTTGTTTTTAGCGGCGAAAAGGTTAAGACCTCGCCCCCGGAGAGAGCATCGTGTTAGCGCCGGGGAAGCTCTCGGGTGCTCATTTGCTATTCATTCCCAAAACTGGGTTGCCTGCAATTGTGCCTCCGGTCTATCTCGCGAGCCGTCTGCGTCCGGGAAGGATCATCCCCAAGATTTGTATTCGATATCCATATCGACCTGCGGGATCGATAAGCCGAGCTTGGGTGTAATCGGCCCACCGGTTGCGATTGTGATCGAAGATTATGCGCATCGACTAACGACCCATATACCACAACGATGATGCAATCTGGATGCACCAGATTCGCTATATAACGCAATATATACATTTATATGAGCGTGTACTTTAACAATACGAGCACGGAACTGCGCAATAGCTTCTTTATTCTCCGTATATAGAAAGAAACTGTCTTGAGACAAAAAAATTTATTAAAAGCATGAAAAATATGTATTTAGTACGCTATATTTGTATGTATATGCGCGAAGTGACATTTTGATTATTCATTATTCGGGTCACAAGTGACTCAACCACAGTCTTCCGAGATTAATTAACCTTTTGCCTTACGATTTAATTTATGACTGTGGCATAGTCAGCGACAAAGTCGCTTACGCGCTTGAACCAACAACAATCTGACTATATGCTTTATCTTTTTTTGCCGATATAATAAGAACTACATTAATTTTCTTTTATAAAACGTAAAATACGCGTACACACACAGTCGTTTAAGACACACACGGTCGTGTGCTTTTATTTGTCGTAAGCTCTAAGTGATGTCGTAACAAACTTTTTATTAATCTACGGCCGGGCAATTAATCTACGTAAATTAAATGATCCAATAGATCAAGAATATTTTACACGCTCGTAAATAGAGTACTGGATCACTCGACTATGTTGCTTGGAGAGATGCCTACTAGCCGGTCTCCTAAATCAACGAGCGGAACGCTCACAGCGAAGACTAGTCGCGCAAACTATCTTTGAATATTTGCAAATGCGTTTCTGACGGATAAATGAGCGGTCATTTATATAAAAAAGAAAGCATTAATTTCTCGTTATTTTTAATTAAAGCAAGAACCGCAATAAAAATATAAAAGAAAAGGATAGGTTTTACGATGTTGAAAGAAAACTATGGCGTAAAAAATAAAAAATCTTGCTCGTGGACAAGAGAGTTTTGTTAAAGAGTACAGATCCCGGGAGAGAGAATTCAAGATATTCTATTTGCGAATCTCCTCGATACTTCGAAACGCGAAAGAATTTCTCGTATCGCACCGTGCGAGAACCGACATGAAATTCATATCTATGCTAAGCGCGTGCCGCGTTTGGGTTTAGTGCCTTCCGCATCGTACCTTTATATTGCAGGCCGATTCGGTAATTTCGTGCACGGCGATCCCGCTTGAAGTCGACGGACGGTTTCAAGACTTGCGAGGATTTTCACTGAGACCCGTAATTCGAGAAACGCGCGCGGCGAGAGTCTCTGGCAAAACACAAAAGTGTCGGGAAAGAAAAATTTCGAAAACGATACCGGGGCGATATCTGCGAAAGAGAAATTAAACGAGATCCCCGGGGTTTAAATGTTCCCTCCTTTTTCTCTTTCCTCAAAACGAGTGGCTGATATTCTTGGAATAATAAAATATCTGGAATAGGTGAAGCGTAATCGGCTTCCGAGCTTCCGAACGTGCAATCTCCCCCTTGACGGACCGGGCGTTTCTCGATTTTTAATCTAGACTCTTCTCACAAGAAATGAAGTTGAACAGTTTCCGCGCAAAAGAAGGAGCCGACAGCGCGCGCGGTAGGAGTTATATATACGTTCGCAAATTTCTCTGCCGGCGTTTCATCCTCATTTGGAAAGTGCAAGTTTTCTCCCGCAGAATTTCTTTTTCCACATCATCGGTCGGGGAGACCGGACCTTTTATCCCGCTGAATTTTAATCCACTCTTATTGATAAGGAATTCTTCAATTACTCGCACGGCGCATTCTTCGAAATGCTTTACGCGTTAGGAAGCTAAATTTTAGTTTTATTATCTCAATATAAATTCAAATATTATTTTCTTTTTTGTTACGAACAATTCAGAAGTCACATATCGGATATAACAGTATTTTATAATAAACTTTTTCACAATAAACTAATAAATTTACATATTTTCCAAATTTCATATATACATGGTTTTTCAAGTTTCGATCAACTTGAAGCCATCAAGTTTTTTGAGAGACACGCACCTCCTGTCTCACATTTTGAAGGAAAGACTCGATTTAAAGTTACATCTTGCTGCTTATGTATTCTCGCGTCCCGCTCATTTCCAGAGAGTACACCGAAGCTCCTTTATCCTTCTTAGCTCGGCCGCGTCCGGACTGCGAGAGTAGCAGTTCCGCTTTCCTGCCCGGCGCGACGCCTGCTGACTCCGGCTTCGTGACTTTTAATCTCGACCCCATTGTGCGAGCCGGT